AGCCCCACCCAAGGGCCCAACTGCACACGGGAGAGTCCCTGGGGCCTCTGCCCAGTGAGTGGACACCTCGCTCCAGGCCTGTCTCTCGAGGTCCTCACTGATCTGACTCCTGCTCTCAGTCTCAGCACAGCTTGTGTCCCCGGGGGTATGGGGCTGGGAGCCGGGCAGAGATGCGGGGGGACCACAGGGCTCCGGGGGCTCTCAGGCCGTGTGGATGAAGGGTGGGGGTCATGGAGAGGGAGATGTTGGGTCCAGCCTGGGAGAGAAGTAGCCCCCGGCCCTCACCCCTGTCCTGACCCCCACGAGGCCCTGAGAACCGGCTCCTCCCTCCCATGAAGTCAGGCCCACAGACACGTAAGTGAGGGTCTCCGTGGGAGGTGGTGGTGGGTACTTGGGGGGCAGGGCTGAGTGATGCCCTCAGTTCAGGCACCTCTGGAGACGCGGACTTGGAGACCCCCTTCCCCTGCCTGGGCCTCAGTTTCCCCATGTGTAAAAGATGAGAACTGGCTCAGAGCTTATATTTCCTTCAGTTCTCACTTCTGGCTGTGACCCCCCGGGAGGGGCGGCCTCACAGGGAGGCCCCAGGATGTGACCTAACGGGTCTGTCCCCTCTGCAGCGGTGACGCTGACACTGTACTGGGGAGAGGGAAGGGGCAGGACAGTGGTCTGGGGCGTCCAGCCCTTTCCCTTCAGCTCAGGGAGCTCAGCCCGAGGGGAAGGGGCACGGGCTGGAGTCAGACCCCGGGTCGAGTCCCAGCTCTGCTGCTCCTGCCGTGCGACCCGGGCAGGTGGCTTCTGCGTCTCGGGTTCATGGTCTGTGGGCTCCCTGGTCCCACCGTGCTCACAGGCTGCTGTGACATGAGGTGAAAGACGGCCTGGGCTTCCCAGAACTCAGGAGGGCAGACCCCCAGCTCAGCCTGAACCTTCCCAGGGGCGTCAGGGCCCCATAGGGTGGTTCGGACCCTGGGGAGGGATGCAGAGTCCACCCCCCCAGCCTGCCCTCCCCCAGTCCCTGCTGCAGCGGGGGAGGGGCGGGTAACAAGGAAGGACCCTCAGCTCCCGAAGAGACTCTCCAGGCCCCCCCACTGATGAGGAGCCCCCAGAAATGAAGCTGGTGTCCACCTGGGGGACAGCACAAGGGGGGTTCATGGAGCCCCAGTCTTGGGATCAAGCCAGTGCTGCCACACCAAGGCTGGGTGGCCCATGTCTTGTGACTCTCCTCTCTGTGCCTCAGTTTCCTCATCTGCACAGGGGTGGGGTGGGGGTGATGGTGACGGGGGATGGGGAGGGGTTGCATGATTGTTCTGAGGGTTAGAGATGATTGTGTGGACTATAGCACACGTCTGGGACACAGTACGTGCTGAATTAAATGGCACTGTTGGCTCATTCATGATGTCCCCCAGGAGGTGCCCCAGGTCTCGGGTGGCATGTGAACGTTCCGATCACAGGCTCAGTGGCCTTCGTTGTCATCGTCCTCCTCCTCTTCCTCCTCATCCGCTATCTGTGTCAGGAAAGACGCAGGAAGTCAGGTGAGTAGGGAACGGGGGGACCCTGGCCACTGGAGGAGGTGGGCTTAGGGCACCAGCCAAAGGAGAACCAGAGGTGGGCAAGGTCAGCTTAGAAAATTGGTTTTTCCACAGTATGGAGTTTTCTCAAAAACTAAAAATAGAACTACCATATGATACAGCAATTCCACTGCTGGATATATCTGAAGAAAAGGAAAACACTAATTTAAAAAGAAGCTTACACTCCAATATTCATATAACCCATAGCCAATGTATGTGAGCAACCCAAGTGGCCATCAGCAGATCAATGGATAAAGAAGATGTGGTGTCCATGTATTCCATGGAATATTACTCAGCCGTAAAAAAGAATGAACTTCTGCCACTTGCAACAACGCGCATGGACCTAGACAATGTTATGCTTAGTGAAATAAGTCAGAGAAAAACAAGCGCTCTATCTTATCACTTATTGTGGAATCTATAAAATAATACAAATGAATGTTTATGCAGAACAGTAATTGACTCACACGTATAGAAAACTAGTGGCTGCCAGTGGGGAGAGGGAAGGGGGCCAAATTAGGGATGTGGGATTAGCAGATGCAAGCTGCTATGTATAAAACAGATAAGCAACAAAGATACACTGTATCAAATAGGGAATTACAGCCATTATTTGGTTTAGATGGAGTATAAATCTATAAAAATACCGGATCACTATGCTTATACACGTGAAACTAATATAATCCTGTAAATGAGCTATATACTCCATTTAAAAAAATTAGAGTCTCAGATCTGAAAATCTAGAAAGAAAACACCTAATGTCAGCTCACATGCACAAATGTACGGTGTTTTCATCTTTTTCAATCTCATGAAACACTGAAACACATATGCCCCTTCTGGGTGCAGGCGGGGGCTCCACCCCTGAGAGATCTCAGGGAATGCGAGCAAGCGTCACACCCCCTGTTCTGCCCCAGCAGATGCCGCCGTGAACAACACACAGCCTGCGGAGGAGGTGCAGCTAGACCATTGGGTGAGACCCCTGCTCCCGTCCAGGCCACCAAAGACTTGCTTGTTGCCAAACTTAGTCCAACGGACACTCCTCTGTCTTCACATCTCAGCTCCCAGCAGCTCCCACACTGACCTCTCCTGAACTGCCTGGTCATGTTCTGCTCTGACTCCACGCCTCCACTTTCCTCGTGACCTCATGGCCCCTCCTTCAGGGTCCCCTTTATTGGCTCCTTGTCCTCTGTCTGACCTTCTGCTGTTGGAGCGTAGCCCCAGGTCTCAAGAGGATGCATGAATAAGTGAACCTCCCCAGACCCCCTAGGCGCCCCTTCATTCATTCACCCAGCAAAGGTGCACAGGGCGAGCACTAGCCCCCCGGCTCCCTGGCGGTGCTGCAGGTGCAGCCGTGAGCACACTGTGTCCACACTCCTCGAGCTCACCTGGTGGGTGAGGGAGACTATATGCAAATTAGCAGGCAGTGTCCTAGAATGCAAGGTCCTGATAGGGAAAGTAAAGCAAGAGAAGGAGACAGAGAGCATGGGAGGAGGGGCAGCAAGTGCAAAGGCAGGGACATGCTTTTGCAGGAAGATGGGCCATGTGGCTGGAGCCAAATGAGCAAGAGATAACGTGTTAACACAGAAATCAGAACCGTAGAGAGCACCCAGAGACGCCAAGTTGTCAGGAAGCCCCTGGAGATTCCGTCAGGAAAGCGACCTGATCTCATCTAAGGTTTTAAAGCATCACTCTGGCAACAGAGTGGAAAACTCACTGGAGGAGATCCCAGTGGGTCCAGGAGGTGCTGCTCCTGTCTCACTGTCTCCCTCCAGCAGAACAGGCCGGATGGAGGCCCCCGGGGTGGGACGCACCCTCAGGGAGGGACGTACGCCCAGGTGAACCACTCAAGATCAAGCCTAGGGTGAGGAATTGCCACCTGTCTTTCTCCCCTGTCGGGGGGACTGCTTGACACAAAGGACAGACAAGCAGAAGAGGACACGCAGAGGGACAGTCAAGCGGGTCCCATCCTCTCCAGCCCTCTGGCTCCCCCCCCAACCCAACCACACACCTTACCTCTCTCCCCCTACTGCAGGCTGCCCCATCTACATGCCCCCAGGATGTGACCCACTCGACTCTCAGATGGGAGACTACTGCAGCCCCTCCCTCCTGGTCGGGGAAGCCCCCGGCAGAGCCCACCTTGTACACCACGCTCACCATCCACTAGCCCAGGGGACCCAGAGCCCGCGCTCCAGGCAGGGGACTGCAGGGACGCCGGAAGGCACAGGACCTGCCTGCAGTGGACACCACCTGATGGCCACCAGCCGACCTGGACTCCTAATACAGACCGCAGGAGCTCCTGGGGCCCTTTGGGAGTCACCTGATTCTACCATCAAACATAGTTAATACCTTTACATGGTGGAAATAATTCAAAAGACTTCTCGGTTATCAATGTGCGAATTAAAAGCAAAACTAAAGTGAGATGACGTGTCCAATGAATGATGACATAACATCACACATCCCACCTGTCAGTCAAGGAAGCTAAGAACCAGGAATGAACACGTTAGGAAAGCCTTTGTAAGATCAGTGACCTAACGTATCATGACACAAATTTAGGGAAAGAACAGCAAATTATTCCAAATGAAGGTAGAAGGAGCGGATTCATAACGACAAGAGTAGCTAATAACGAAGACAGACAGAAAGTAGAGAGAAATCAGTTAAAGCAAAATAATTCATTCTTGGAAACTTTAATGACGTTTATAAACCCTAAGCACAATGGCCAAGGGAAAGGCCAGATGGCGCTCGTTCACCGTGTCAGGGAAGATGCAGCACCACCACCCGGAGACTTGTGAAGACAGTAACAGAACATAGAAACAATGTGATGCCCAGTGTGCAGAACATGTAGATGAAATGGGCATCTTTAAATGTACAATGTACTAAATGGACGTAAGAATAAATGGAAAATCTGTCATCATTATACGTCCAGTAAATACATTGACTCTAGCCAATAATTGCCCCACAACTGAGCTACATAGAATCTTAAGAAGTCAAACTGAGAGAGAGGTTAGAAAGGTGGTTACTGGGGTTGCAGCAAGGGGGGAGGGGAGGTGTTGGTCAGGGCGTGCAAAGTTCCAGTTACGAAACAAGTAAGTTCAGGGACTTAATGTACAGCCTGGTGATTAGAGCTGACAGCACTGTATCCTATTCTTGAGCGTCGTGAAGAGAGTGGACGTTAAATGTTCTCACCACAAAAAAGAAATGGCAACTATGTGACGGGATGGAGGTGTTAAGTGATGCTACGCTGTTGATCATTCTGCAGCGTGTAAGCGTTCAGGACGCTTCATCTGTGGTTGCTTCCAAACACCTGTGCACCTACGAAACACCCCACCGCCTGCGCGTGCGCACACGTGCGCGCGTGCGCGCACACACACACACACACACACACTCCAAAACTGCACAAATCTCTCCTGAGAATAGAGAAAGAAGAAATACATGGCAACACATTTTATCAGGCCAGGAACATATTCACACCAAAACCTGGCAAGGGATTGAGAAAACGGGAAAGTCACGGGGAGATTTCTCATGTGAGCTCTGCTGCAAATCTCTAAACAGAGTATTCACAGAGAAGATTTAGTCATCTATAAAAAGGACATAGTGCATGACTATACTGTGAGGCTTTTTTTTGAAGGATACAGTAGCTTAAGATTTTTTTTTAAATCCATCAATGTAATTTAACACATTATTCAAACAAGCAAAAAATAATCATCTCAACAGATGCAGACGAGTCTTTTGAAAAAATATACCAGCAATTCCTAATGAAAATAAGAACTTATCAGCAACAGAAGGGCGTTTCCTGTACCGGATGAGGGCATGTTTGACCATCAACACTGGACATTGTTAGTAAAGGTGAGAACCTGAAACCCTTCCTCTGTAATTGGCAATGGTGCAAGTATGTTCCCTGTGACCCCTTCTGTGACCACGGCCCTGGAGGTCCCAACCAATTCAGTAAAGCAAAGCGGTAAGCTCTGAAGTGGGTAAGAATAATGCTGCATCAGTCAGTGATTACACGGTTGTGTGTGTGCAGAGAAAATCCAAAATAATATCAAGATGTATTAGTCCAATTAGAAAGGTGTTTTCCAGCATCACTGGATACATGCTCGATATATAAAATTCAACCACATCTCAGACTTCCAGTTCTGGACTGAGATGAAGCAAATAAATGTCTCCTTCTTTCTGGACATTATGGCTGTGAGCTTGAATGCATGTACTGACCTCCTAGAACCAACTATAAGATACTAAATTTTTGTGGTTTTAATCCGCTGAGCTTGTGGTAATTTGTGGAAAATGAAAACTGACGCAACTCCTTAAATTTTCCTTTGGTCACGTTTGTATAGTATGTTTTTCATCCTTCCACTTTTATAATGTGGGAACATACACATCCCATAACATTTACCACCATGTAAACATTATTGAAGTGTAGGATTCAGTGGCCGTAAGTACATTTGTCAAGTTAGGCCATCATGACCACTGTCCATTTTCCAGAACACTTTCATTATCACAAACAGAATCTCTGCCCCCATTAAACAAGCAGCCCCCGGGCCCCCTGCCCCCGCCCCTGCCGCCCCCGCTCTGGCCCCCGCCGCTGGGGATCCGGCCGCTCTAGGCAGTGCGTGGACGTGAAGCCACGCGGCACTTCGCGTCTGGTTGATCTCACGTTAGTGTTGCCGGGGCTCAGACACATTGCTCGTTCTTTTGCTGTTACCGTTCTCAGCACTGTGTCAGAAGGGCGCTCCTCCTGGACTGCATGGTGTAGGGTTTTGTCTGCGGCTGTTTTCCTGAAGCAATCCTTGAACCTTGGTCTTCCGGGCTGTGTTGAGTCCATTTACACACAATGTAACGGCGGCTGTGTTACTTAGACTGGCCACTTTGTTTTCTTTTTTATGTCTGTCCCCTTTGCTTGTTCTCCTGCTTACCCTTTCCTGACTTTTCTTGGATTTAAAAACTATTTTTAATATTCCATTTTAATTATTCAGTTGCTGCTAGACTGAACCTCTTTGAATGCTACTTAAGTGGCTCTTCTACAGATTATCACAAGCATTCCTGACCTGTCAAGTGAGAGCGTTTTAGCTCCTCAAGGGAGATGCAGAAGTCCTACCAGCACGCATGTCCCTTTACCCTCACCGCTGTACCGCATGGTTATTATGTGGATTATACCTACAGACACCTGCAGGGTGTGGCGGGGCCCATGGGAACGGGTCCAGCTGGGGGAGTTCTCCCCACACCTCCTGCTTCAATCTAACACTGCCCCCTCATCTGGGGGGAGCACAGCGGGTCTGGGCTGATGTGGCCAGTCTGGGAGGGGCTGTGGGGTGACAGCGGGGGACACTGAGGGGAGACGGGCACCCCTGACACTTCAGGTCTGATTCCTTTCCAGGTGTCCTCCCCAAACCCTCCATCTGGGCTGACCCAGGCCCCACGGTCACCAAGGGGAGCACTGTGACCATCTGGGTCGGGGTCTCAGTGGGCTGATGTCTACCATCTGTATAAAAGGGGTGCCTCTAGACTCTGGGAGACTAAGACCCCACAGGACTCCAGAAACACGGCCGGTCTCTTCTTTAAACGCTCGAGCTCAGACACGGCAGGGCTGTATCAGTGCGCACATCGCAGGGGGATCCACTGGTCAGAGTGGAGGTGACAGGTAACAGGGCTCCTCCTCACAGGCAGAGGGGGCAGAGTGTGGGCTCAGGGGGACCTCTCCCCGCACAGTCTCCCTTTAACACAGCCCCTACCCCTCCCTCAGGGGTACCAAGCACCTCGTTTTGCTTGTTTCTAACCAATACCATCATCTAGACACCAAGCAATGTGGTAACCCTTGCTCCTAGAAACACTGCCTGGTGTGCTGCAGATATGCCATCGTGTATTTCTGAAAACAACAGAGTTGCTGATAGATGGAAGGGAAGTGACGTGGAAACAAGAACCCTGAGCCAGAGAAACTGAGACAGCCGGCTGAGGGGGCCTGGCAGCACAGCCAGCCTCCGCTGCTTCACGTTCCTGAAGTGTTTGGCTGTGGTTCCCTCTCTACTCTAGAAACGTCCATTTCTGTTTTCCTACAATAGCCCGTGCCTACACACTTCATAAAACACGGCCAGCACTGCTCAGTGTCAGGAGCTCATGGGGGTCTTGAGTGGGCACGTCGATCGTCCACCTTGACTGTGGCGTCTGACACCTTGACCTCAGCGTCTCACCCTACACGACTGAATCAGGTTGGGAAACTAACGAACACCAGGTCTTGCCCACCTCCCGGCACACCTATCGGAGGAGTGAGGCTCAGACAACCTGCTGCAGGTGGGGAAGGGGCTCCAAGACTGGACCTGGGGGCTCCAGGTACACGGGCAGTGGACGACGGAGGAATATTCAAGTAAGAATCAGCTGTTCTCTCAGATCAGAGCACTAACCGACACCCTGTGCCCTCAACCTGAGGACAGAACCACAGGATGAGGAGGAGACTCTGTCCAGGAAAAAGGGGCACCGAGGAGGCGAGAACCGCTCTGGGGCTGTATCCCAGGAGGTGGGGTGGACGCTGTGCAAGAAAAAAGAGAACTGATGTGGACTGTGACGGAAATGAACCCACACTCCGGGGCCAGGAGAGGAGTCGTGGTTCCTGCCCTTACTTCCCAGTGCTTCTCCTCTGTGCTCACTGCCCCCTTGACCTCCACCGAGCTGTAGTCAGACGTTCGATGTGCGTCTCTGCTGATCTGAGCTCTGCAGACCAGCAGGAACCTGCATCTGCCCTGAACATGTGAAGGTGACCTGGGTCCATGGTGAGGACCCCGCAGGGCTGGGCTGATGGACGGCTGAGGACGAAGGAGGCCCCACACGGAGGCTCTGAGAGGGAAGGACGTGGCCTGGGCACCCTCACCTGCAAGGGGCGCCTCAGGAAGACACCGGGTCTCTTTGCTGATCTGTCACGGAAACGAGAGCCAGGCTCTCAAGAAGGGTAGTTCCACTTCCTGTGGGGAAGTAGACGTGACAGCCCCGTGACGGGAAAACCAGCCTCCCCGCGGACACACCCTGTGGGTCTCCGTGCTGAGGGCACCGTGTCTCCTCCATCTGCACAGCCTGCACCACAGGGAGGAGGCGCCATGACCCCCACGCTCACGGCCCTGCTCTGTCTCGGTGAGATTGAGGAGGGGAGGGCGGTCCTGGTCGGGGAGGGACCCTCCCACAGCCAGGCCTGCTCTGTCAGGAGACCCCGGGGCTCAGGACGCTCAGGGGAAGGGAGGTTCTGCTCAGGGTTTAGGGCGACTCTCTCACAGGGACCTCTCTTCCAGGGCTGAGTGTCGGCGTGAGGACCCAGGTGCAGGCAGGTGAGTCTGTGCCCAGGTGTCCCCGCTCCCCCCTCCTCATTGTGGGGATGGCCAGCCCCTCCCTGGGCAACGGGGGTGGGAACAGCAGCTCTGGGCTGAAGGATGGGGAGGCTGGGGGCTGTGGGGCTGAGAGCTGGGGGATGGGGGTGGGAATGTCTTATGACCCCAGCCTCTGATTTCCTTCCAGGGACCCTCCCCAAACCCACCATCTGGGCTGAGCCAGGCTCTGTGATCCCCTTGAATAGCCCTGTGACCATCTGGTGTCAGGGGACCCTGGGGGCCCAGGAGATCCGTCTGGGTAAAGAAGGGATCGCAGCCTTCTGGTACACAGAGCCCCCACTGAAGCACGGGAACAAGGCCAATTTCTCCATCCCACACATGACAGAGGAGCACACAGGGAGATACCAGTGTCACTATCTCAGCATCACTGGCTGGTCAGAGCGAAGTGACACCCTGGAGCTGGTGGTGACAGGTGAGAGGACACTCAGGGGTCCCCGCCTCGGGCTCTGCCCT